GAAGGTTTAGTGCATGCCAGGTGATTGTGATAGATATTTCCTTATACTGCTGATCCTTGCAGCGTCCAGGGTAGATATTTTATATTAATTTTAGAGTTGAGGAGACCGATTCTCAGGTTGTGTAAATAAGTCCCCAGATTGTCCGACTGCAAGGCTGGTGCTGTTCCTGCTGCCCTGTGTTGCATTTCAGCACACGGAGGCCCAGGGCAATTTTTGTTGTTTTGTTCATGTCAGCTCTTTACTTTGAGAAACAGTGTTGTCTCACCGAAAAGAAAAACATTCCACCACACTTTATAACACATCAACTTGCTTTTTTATTTTTCCTTATATACTCTTCTGCTCAGTTTATCTTCACACATATTTTAAAGAGTTAAGATCATAATGTGGATATAATCTTTATTCTAAAAATAATTCCATAAGCACTTTCTTTGTTGCTCTACTCTGTATTGTCATCTTAATGGCTGCATAATTTTTGTCAGATGGATTTATCATAGTTTTAAAAGTGTTTTTCCTACTGCAGAACTTTGAGGTTATTTCCATTTTGCGCTGAGATAAATTATGTTATAATAATGATATTTATGTGCTTTTTAAGATTAATGGTAATATAATGGCTTCTAAACCTTTTTTATTGTGGAAATTGTGACATAGTCACAGGAGACTAGAAGGGACCTGCATCTATCTGTCACTCCGCTTCAACGAAAATCAACATTTTCCTCATGTTGTCTCAGCGACTCCCCCACTTTTTTCTTGAGAACGTTAAAGAAAATTTCCAAGTATCTTGTCATTGCATTAGGATAGACTTGTAACTGATAAGGACTTTACCCAGTGTCCTCTAATAGTCTATGTTTAAATTTCCCTGATTATCACCAGAGTGACTTTTCACATTTACTTTGTGCAAGTTAGGATCCAAATACAATCTACACATTGCAGTTGGTTGTTAACGTCATTAAAGTTTCATTCTACACAGTGCACACACACACACACACGTTTCTTAATGCCATCAATTTGTTGACGAAACCATGTCAATTTCTGTAAAATGTCCAACATTTCTAAGGTTGGTGGTTTCTTCAAGGTAGCCTCAACTACTATGTTTATCTACTATATTTGTTTTAGGTGATAGTTAGATGTGAGAGCTTAAGAAGACTGTGGTTCAGTTTCCTAAGAAAGAATACTTTGTAAGCGTGGGCCTTTTCACTTTGAGGTCAAACTTAGCATACTTCTTAGAATATTTTACCAGATCATAAGCTTCTTTTCTTTCTTGCTCTACCAAAAAGCCTCATGGGTTTCCAGTTTATTCATATACAAACCCATTCATGTCAGGCGCATGTAACTGGCTTGCTGCCAATCCCGGCCTCTTCTGCCTCATGTACTGGACCCAGTGTTAACATTAACTGATGTCCTTATAGCCCTTTCAACCTTAGTAGAAATCTAGGAATTGCCTGAAATACTTTTGAAAGCAGTTAGTGGCCCAAGAGAAACCTGGATTTGAAAGAGAAATAACTGTGAGTTGAGGAAGGATACCTCAATTGCAGACAGGTTAAGTTGATCAGGCATGACTATCATATTGATGCCTTTACATGTCAGAGAAGGGCTGAGACCTACCTCTGTTTTTAGGCCTCTATACTCTTTGAGCTTAGGGTAGTTTGAGGTTCTTCTTTCTTGAGTGTTAGTGTGAAAAGCCACTGTCATAAACCACTAAGTTCTAATGCGTCTGCTTCCATCATACTGAATCCCTGGGCACCACGAGGGAGCCCTAGCTAGAGCTGGGGAGTAGGACACTTCCCTTTCTCCCTAGAACACATTCCTCCTTGTATTTTAGATACAGTGTTTGGGGGCCTCTTCAGGGCCACACGTAATGCCCCAGATCCCATCAAACAGAACAAAGAGATGTCCAAGACGTGAGATTCCCAGAATTGTCCAGGAATTGGGAGAGGCAGAGTGAGTCTCCTGTCTTTCTGGTCCCAGGAAATTGTAAGGCATGTGTGGTTTTGCCTTTAGGTCATTAGGCAAAGTGAGATTCCACATCCTAGTTGCCTGACTATTCATTCCAACCTACTACCTCTTCACACTCTGTAGGTAAAGCCTTAGCGTTCCCGTGCAAGAACACGTAACATCGCACGGCAACCCTCTCTACCATCCCTGCAACTAGAAATGCAGGATCAAGGTGCTATTACATTTTTCAAACGTATGCCAAGGCAGCTATGTTACTGTGTTAATGGGAACATGGGTGGAAACAGCTCAAGACAATAGCTTCAGTGAGAGGAGAGCTGTGAAGTGCTTTATTTAAGGGGGTGGCTTCTCTTTGGGGACTAAATTAAAGGATCTGAATGTTTTTCTTTTATCCTTTTGAACAGTCTAGGGAGTGGAGACTTTGAATCTTGACTTTGAGCTGTAGCAATACAGAGACTTCCCTCATTCTTTTAGCTTTTGGTTGCTCGTTTGTTTTACTTGTTACCATTGTATGGTATAGTCTCCCTCACTGGAAGGTCAGTCACAGAAATTGAGGATCTGAAAAAGGGGGGCGGGGGAGACTCAACAGTAGATCATCTAATCCTATATGCCATTGTTTAAAATTGTTTTTGGCAACTTGGTCTTTTCCCAGTTTAAGTGTTAACCATTTTTTCCTATTTACTTTTCTTAAGTGGCTTTGCTGTGTATTAGGTATTACTGAGAATCCTCGTTACTCTTCTGCTTTTTGCCAGTTGTCCCCACATATGCCTCTTCGGGCATAGTAAACAATTCTTTCTCTTTTTCAATTCACCTTTAAAATACATACAGCTTTAAAAATGGACACTCACGTAACCTGCAGTCTGTCTGCAGCATCTGTTCCTTAACTATATGATTCTTATTACTGTTTGATAGTTCTATAATGTGTGTGCAAATAGTAGGGTGAGTACAGTGAGTAATGTGTGTGCAATGGAGTATTGGTGAACTGCCATCAATGAGAGGAGAAAACAGTGTCCTACCTCCTTTGGTTTTGAACAAATCACGTAAGGAATAGAAGTGAAATTGAAAGGAGGATGTTGCTTTAATCTTGAGTTTACACAGATAACTAATATAAGGATCCTTTTAAATGTTAATGTTCGGTATTTCTCCAGGGTAGCAAGACCTAGGCTAGAAAGGGTGGTGTTTTCTTAAACTAGCCCATAATTTGTCATTTAAGCACACTTGGACGTTATAAGGCTCTGTACTCAATGGAAGGCAACAGTGTCGTGGCGGGTGGCCAATCATAGTGGACTTCACAGCTAAAACAGGACCTAAGAGATCACACTGTTTAATACTCTTACCTTGTACATGATAAAACTGAAGCTCCTGAGTTTTTCTAGATCACATGGCTATTAGTTGCTGAGCCTAGGTAAGTTTTTTCCCCCAATTCTTATGCTTTGTTAAGTCTAGCCAATACTAAGTAGGAATGTCCTTAGGAACTGCTAGCTTTCTTTTGCATTTTTAAAAACTTCCTATCATGGATTATTTCTCATTTTACAATAAGTGTTAATTTTATATTCAACGTTGTTGTCACTTAATAGGGTTATTTGGCAAATACTAAAAAATCAACAGGCCCACCAAGATGATGCCAGACTAGGTCTTTTTGCTGGCCCTTTTGAAGTTGTAAAAACAGTGACTAGCTCCATTATGTTGTTTTGCCTGAGTTTTCATCAGCATCAAAAATATATATGTTCAATAATGCAAAGAGGACAAAAATCATTCAAGTAGTAAGTGAAGAATGTTGGTGATTATTTCCAAGGTCAACGACAAAAATTTGCCCCTCATACTCCCTGATGGAAAATATAAGTAAGTTGGCACCAAAAATGGATAATCGATTTCTGTCTTGAGATCTGGTATGGACGTAACTCTTTGCTAGAAAAGGAAAGTATCCCTTTCATTCCTCTCCTGTATGCTTATCCAGATTTTGTCTTTTCCTTTCATTGCCTTCCATTTATTTAATTCTTTCATTTGTTGTTGTTAAAAACCCCTTTATTGAGGGATGATTGACATTCAAAAACTGTACATATTTAATGTATGCAGCTTGAGGAGTTTGGGGATAAGTATACACCTGTGAAACCATCACCACATTCTATGCCATCCATCACTTTGAAAAGTTTTCTGCTGCCCTCTTTACTTACTTTTTCTCATTTATTTAATTCTTACCTTCTGGCACTCTACTTCTGAAAAGAACCTTTCTGTAATCCATGAATACCTTCCGCTCTTTGTTTTATAATGTTAACTTGGTGTATCCTTATCATTCTCTGTGAATATATACAATTGGTAATCTGGGAAATTGGAATGTACTCCCCAGGAGTGTTCAGTCTATATTCATTTCCTTCTATTGCATAAGCAGTTCTGGCTTTTAAGCAAACAAAGGAGTAAATTTCTGTGTATATGGATGCAACTAAAATAAAAAAGCTTGACTATCAGACATGAATCAAATGTGCTATACAGACTAATCCATTATTCAAGTATATCTCGGACTGCATGAATTAATCTTAATCATGTTTATTCTTTTAAAAAACATCACAGTTAAAAATTGCATATCTCATTATTAAAAATGATTTTAGAGCTGAGATGTAATCTCCTAAATTAAGGAATAAAAATAAGAGCAGGATGATCCAGCTAACCATTTTTCTTCTTAAAACTTGAAATAAATGGAGATCAAGAATGTTAGACATCTTTAAATAAATCAGAGGTCTTATGACATTTCTAATATTTTATTAACAAAGTTTTGATTTGATTTCTCTATTTAAAATAACTAGCAAGGTATTCTCTAAGTGCTGAGACATAAATTACAAACATGAAACCTTGATTTATTGTAATGGTGGATAGTATGTGGGACATGGCAAGTTATCACGGATTTTACAATACTCCCCGAGTTGAGGGATGGAATCATAGAAAAGTACTGGAATAAAGTGCTGCTTTAGGCTCCGTTTGTTGTTATATAGATGATGGTTGTCTTCTAAGAAATGATATAATCCTGATGATGTGAACTTGCACTTCTATTCCAGGCACCTCCAGATTTTAGCGAAATCTGCTCAACATTTCCGAGTCCCTGTGATGGATCAGAGGCATTCAGATCTCTGCAAAGACGTCAGAGGAGGAAAAACAATAAAGTGTCTGCATTGGTAAACATGGGGTCTCTCCGATCTCTTACAGAATGTTAACATCTTCATATTTCTCAAAGTACCTTCATCTCCCCTACCTCCTAGACCCTCAGTGACACCCACTGCCCAGAATTTCCAATTCTCTGTCAATCCAAAGTAGGCCCTCTGTAATGTTTACCTGGGCCTCTCAGCATTACCAGGGAGAAAATGCCCAGTTCTGCAGATCAGCACCAGGTCACACTTGCGTTTGCCAACCTCAAGAACTGTCGTTGGCCTCGTGCACCATTTCCTGTTCTTTGCCTGGCTGACTTCTCCTCGGCCTTTAGGTCTCAGCCTAAACTTAAAGCTTCAGAGAAACCCTCCCTGATCTCCCTATCTGATTAGATTTCCCCCTGGCCCGGTGTCCTCTTCATTTCTCTCATGACGCTTTGCACTTGATAATTCTTTATTTACTCTCTGCCTGACTTATTGTTTGTCTACACAACTAATTTCTTGTGCATGGGGACAGCATCTGTGTTATTAATGACTGTAATATAGCTCTTCCTGGCACACAGTAGGCACTCAGGGAGAATTTTTGTAAGATTGGGTTTGGAGAAAAAACATTCTCTAGTAACAAAAAAAGTTTAAAAAGCATTGCTTTCAGTGAATATGGCCATAGCACAAGAGATACCCTTACAGATCTCAGGTTGCATATACCTGTCAAATAAACGTCTTGTGTGTGGTGAAATAGTTAAACAGACTCTTGAGTTCTGAATTTGGGACACATGGCAGTTGCTAAGCCTTCGTAACTGTGGTTCTCAACCTCCTTTTGTCTGCAGATGCGCACAGGCTGATGCTCTGCTGACGTGTCCCACGTGAACACAGCCCGCACTGCGCGTGGTCCCATAGCCCTGGCTCTTCCTGTGCTTCTTTCTCCCCCACTCAAGAGACCATTTGCGGATGCAAGGGAGTGAGTGAGTGTGAATGTAAGGCCTTTAGAAGGGTTACCTCGAATCTGTTCTCATTTACATTCAAAAGCAAAAGATAAACCAATTATAAATCTGAGGTTTAAAAAAATAGTAATGAGTTACTTGCTGCCTATCTCAGAACTCAGGGCTCAATCCCAGGATCCTGAGATCATGACCTGAGCAGAAGGCAGACGCATAACCGAATGAGGCACCCAGGCGTTCCTGAATTGGTGTTTTAGAAATTTATCCCAAACTCCTGGGGAGAATTCTGTTGCTCATGTAACTTTTGGAGAAGAAGAGAATGTATGAGTTGAGAGTGCAAAGTAGCAAGCCCTGTAGGAGAGGAACTCATGGAAATAATGATTGCGTTAAAGTGTGCACTGTGACTTGTAAGATATTGTCTCTGATGCCCTCCCTCAATGACTAATGTAAAAGACTTATTATTTAAGTTGAACATATGAATGCAGATATGAGATATCTTTAGCTAAAAATGCCATTTCATATGTTTCGAACTAATTAGTTTATTAATATTTCCTCTTGTTCATCAAAAATACACTTGGAACTGAGCTATCAGCACTTGCCAAAATGGGAAAAAAGCAGCATTCACAGTGGATTTTTGGTGTCCCTTTTAGTGTCTTTTCTCAGCACAAGTCAACTAGTCAATGAACCTGTTGATCTTGGTTGCACATCCATAGCCCAGCGCTGGTCTCAGTGCTGTCTGGGGGATCCAGAGGAGCCGGGAGAGCACTGGCCATAAAAAGTTACAGTCTAGATGGAAGAACAAGACACATCTGGAAAATAAAACATTTTATACATACTAAATTATGCAGTCCTAACAAAGAAAAATGGCTTGTCTGTCACCGTTGTTCCTCTTGTCTTGCCATATATATATTTTTAAAAGCTTTTTATTTTAAAAAATAATTTTATTAATAAAAGAACTGCATGATAGTACAGAGATATACTCAGCTTTCCATAGTGTTAACATCCTTCATAACTATGGTACAATTATCGAAGCAAGATATTGCCACTGGCACCTTACTGTTCACTAGGGTATAGACTTTACTGAGATTTCACAAGTTTTTCCATTAATATGCTTTCTCTGTTCCAGGATCCTATCTGCTGACAATACCACATTACATTTAGCATATATGTATTTTAATAATGATAGTACATAAAAGAAGAAAGGCATTTTACCCACACTCGGATATCACTGCTGTTAATATTTTGGTATATTTCTTCATGACACACACACGTAAACACACACCACACACGTCAGGATCAAACTGAATACCTGTCTTTGTACTCTATTTTTGTAATTTAACAAATTGTAAATATTACCCTATGTTATTAGTGTTTGAAATATGTTTAACGTGTGTATAATTTTTACCATATGGATATGATAACAAAAGCTATGTTCATACTACCAGGTTATTGAATGCTTGCATCCATTTTCCCTCTTCCAGATGTCACCGTGATGATTTCCAGTGCACATGAGCTCTGGGCAGCTTTCATATTTCTACAGGTTGATGACAAGGAAGAATATATAAGGTGAAGATCTATGGATTTTCCCCTTTTATTATTTTTTTTATTGAGACATCTTTTACTGTATTTTTAAATTCAAGAGCAACACATTTAAACTATACTGAAATCTCTCAAATTGAAAATGAAAATCTTCTCCTACTCTGGTAGACTTACTTCCCTGAGGAAAAGAAAGTATCATGAGGTCTCTGGCTTTAGCTTGAACCTGTGCTCCTGAAATTATGAGGGGTGTTTCCAGCAATGGTGTAAAAAAAGCTCAGCTTCAAACCTGAGCTTTTTTTACATGTGCAAAGTTCCCATGGGTTCTCAGGAAGAATATCCTAGCCCCGTTATCTTTTGATTTGTGGACAGGGGTGCCGTTCCTTGGACATTTCCTGTAGTTGTGGATGACCATTTTTATTTTCAGGATTTGGCTGCTCGTTTGTTACTGAGGAGTCAGTTTCATGACTAGGTAACAGAGAGCAACACCGGGGAAAAAAGGATCCCCCGATTATTCCTGCCTTTTAGAGTAGATCATTCATCTGTTCCGAAGACACTGAGGCCCGCAGGGGCAAGGCCCGCCCAGAGCTGCCATGCCTTGACACTGTTGTTGGCCATGAGAGGATCAGGGAAGCATCTTGGGTCCCTGGTTCCAAAAGTCACTAGCTGGTGCCTGGACACAGGGGCACACTGTTGATGTTGGGGCTGACCACAACCAGGGAACAGAGCTGGGTAATGAATGTGGCAGAGTGTGGCCTTTGAAATTAGACAGGCCTGGACTCAAAATGATTGGATCCAGTGCCTATTAAGGATTCTTTGACTTTAAGCAAGTAACTGAGTCCCTCTGAACTTGAGCTTCTCAACTGTAAAATGAGATTGTTATACAGGCTGTTACATAATTTGAAGATGTGAAAATGGTTGGTACTGTGCACCTGGCATGTAGTGTGCTATCAAATAAAAGTTTGTGAAATGAAGGGATGGACGAATGACTCACGGCCAGTTCAACACCCTATTTTTATAAAATAGCAGTGTGGCTATTTGTGATTGAAAGTATAAGAAATATCAATGCCACGAGTTAAATGTCAATTTCATTTCTTCCCCAGAGTTGCAGAAAGCAGAAATCAACCCCAGCTAGCTAGCATGAAAGGAATTTATTGATGGGACACTTGAGTCCTGAAATCTAAGAATTAAAATAACCAGTCTTTGGATGGGCCAGATCCAGGCAACTCCAGGGACCTCAGAAAAAGAAAATCATGGACCTTTTGTCTAGAAACATTCGTATTTCTCATTTTTAGTGACCTGCAGTGTCAGATGGACCAGCTCTGGCCAGGAAGGCAGGGTTGTGTGGTATACACGTAGTTGCTGGAGGCCCCTCCTCTGTGTCAGGGGCAACAAGGCCAGGGGAACATTGGGAGCGAAGACATTTTTAAGGCTTTAATGAGGCGTAATTGTCATATAATAAACTACACATATTTGGATACATTTTGATAGATACATAAAATTATATACAATTGTGTTGTATACATATATTTATCTGGAAAACTATAACTGTGATGAAAATAGTGAATATATCCATCATCCCGGAAAGTTTCTTTTTTTTTTTTTTAAGATTTTATTTATTATTTATTTGTGAGAGAGACAAACAGAGATGGTGAGAGAGAGCATGAGCAGGGAGGAGAGGGAGAAGCAGGCTTCCCGCTGAGCAGGGAGCCCGATGCGGGGCTCGATCCCAGGACCCTGGGATCATGACCTGAGCTGAAGGCAGACGCTTAACCGACTGAGCCACCCAGGCGCTCCATCCTGGAAAATGTTTTTGTGCTCCCTTGTATTTTCTCCCTCCTACCTCTCCATGCCCCTCCACCTGTTCTCAGGCAATCACTGATCTGCCTCTTTCACTATAGATTAATTTGCATTTTCTAGAATTGTGTATAAATGGGATTGTATAATATATACTATTTCTTGTCTGGCTTTTTTCACTTGGCATCATTATTTTGAGATTCATTCATGTTGGAGTATATATCAGTACTTCACTCCTGGACGTGTAATATTCCATGGTATGGATATACCACAGTTCATTTATCCTTTCACTTCTTCATGGACTTTTAGGTTGCTTATGGTACGGAGCTATTACCAATAAACCTGCTATGAAAATTCATGCACAAGTCTTTGCTTAGACGTATGTTTTCATTTTGCTTGGGTAAAAACCTAGGACTAGAATGGCTGGGTCATATTGTGGGTATGTATTTAATTTTTTTCAGAACTGGCCAAGCAGTTTTCCAAAGTGGTTGTAACATTTTACATTCCCACCAGTGATGTATCAGAGTTCCAATTGTTCCATACCTCACCTCTACCTGGTATGTATCCAGAATTTGTTTTTAGAAAATTTTCAAAACTTAATACTAAGAAGACCAACAACCTGATTTTTAAAAATGAGTAAAAGATTTCAATAGATAATTTTCCAAAGAAGATGTACAGTGGCAAATAAGCACATCAAAAGATACTCAACATCAGTAGTCATTAGAGAAGTGAAAATTAAAAGAGCAATGGCATGCTTATTCAAATAGCTAACATTAAAAGGAAGCTAATAATTTTTCATTATTATGCCCATTTTATAGATGAGAAAACTGAGGCTCTCGGAATTAAGTGACTTGACCAAGGTTGACCAGCTATGAAGTGGTAGAAGTTGAATTTGAACCTGGGTCTGCTAACCCCTGCTTAATCTTTTTTTTTTTTTTTAAGATTTTTATTTATTTATTTGAGACAGAGAGAGCACGAGCAGGGGGAAGGGCAGAGGGAGAGGGACAAGCAGACTACCTGTTGAGCATGGAACCAAAGACAGGGCTCGATCCCACAACCCCAAGATCATGCCCTGAGCCAAAGTCAGAGGCTTAACGGACTGAACCACCCAGGTGCGCCACCCCTGCTTAATCTTGATGTTATGCCAGCAATAGTCCTTTGAAGTAGGCTTCACAAGCAAGATTGAAAACAGGGAAACTCATTTACTTCTCAGAATACATCCCTTTCCTCTCCTGAAGAGACAGGCTATCACCATTCACAGGGGACATTATGCAACCTCAAGTTTTGGTCTGTTTTGCCTAAAGAATAAATTTTGTTTTTCCATCATTCATCTTTGTCTGGGAGAAGTATTAAAAGTATAGAATGCCCACCAAATCTTCATTGGTCCAACAAAGACAGAGGTCTATTTAACCACAATCATTACAAATATGAGGGGTTTTTTTTGTTTTGTTTTGTTTTTGGCTCAGACAGAAGATCTACTGTTTCTTAACTATGTGATCTTGGACAAATTACAATACTTTGAGTTTGATATCTTTGTCTGTAGACTGGGCGTGATACTGACCATACTGTGTTTTAAGGGTTAGAGGAGCCGATGTATATATAGAGTTTACCACAATGTCCTACACTTAATAGAGTCCCAAAACACTGTTACCACATCACAAATAATAATATATAACCACCCCCATAATAGGTGTGTTAAGCTTCTCACTCATTATGAAACCTAAACAAAACAGGAACTCATCCCTAGCTGATGTCTTGCTGTTCTCTGGGGACTTGCTCCTTCCTTTAGGAAATGCTAACCCACCGACAGACGATGGTATTTAATTCTATAGGAATGACTAAGCCAGCTTAGGGGCACCTGGGTGGCTCAGTTGGTTAAGCGACCTCCTTCAGCTCAGGTCATGATCCTGGAGTCCCGGGATCGAGTCCCACATCGGGCTCCCTGCTCAGCAGGGAGTCTCCTTCTCCCTCTGACCCTCCTCCCTCTCATGCTCTCTGTCTCTCATTCTCTCTCTCTCAAATAAATAAAATCTTTAAAAAAAAGAAAGGAATGACTAAGCCAGTGAAATATGTATCCTTTAGTCATAAATTTATCCTTTAGGTAGAAATATTCTCTGAAGGGAGTATCTGTGGTTGCTTTTGAACTCCAACTGAGTACCCGCATAGCGTCTTTAGAGTTCAGTGATCAGATATGCGGGAATCACATGGTGTAAAGAAATCAGAGTCCATGTAATCAAGAGCTCTGCAGAATCCCATTCCCCAATCTGAGGTGACTGAAGGCCCACTGCAGTGTCACGTGGCTTTCACACCTTATCGGGCCCTCGCACTCCGCAGACTTCCTTCTCCCTTTCCCTCCTCTCCCGCCCCCAGCTCTCTTCCCAGGCCCCTGGAAGTGCAGCTTCAGCCACCGAGGATTGGTTTTCCTCCATCCTCTTATTTTGTTTCTGAAATACAATCTGTTTTCAGCCGGTGCTCGGGGACTATCGTGAGCTTCCTCTAAGCACTTGGATGTAAGATTATGAGGAGAGACAAACTAGCTTCTCTACTGGATGCCTCCAGCAACTTCCTCGCAGGTAGTCCAGTAATGAGCTGGCCTCGCAGAGAGAGCCAGAGGTTCTGCTGCTTGGCACTGATGCTCATGATGCAAACTTCGCAGAAGATGGCCACTGAGGATGGAATGTTGTTCACACTGGTGAAGCTGGGCTTTGTGTTCAGAGCATCTGGGCCAGGGGATCTCTGTCACCTCCCAGCTATTATTGAATGACGAGGTGGCAGAGCACTGGGGGTGGGGGTGGGGGTCTTTCTCCTAGAACACAACTTAAATTGTCTCCAGCTATGCCAGTTGAAGCAGGACACACTTAGCTGAAATCTCGGAATGGCCAGAGACTAGGGGACTGCCTCCAACCTGGTCCTTGAGCCCAAAGGTTGACATTTTCATCGTTATGTGTCATTGTAGTGTTTGACCCTCTTTTGCAACAGAGAAATACTACTTGTTTTTTCCATAATTTGACTTAAAAACAAGCACATAACACTTTAGAGTGGAGATACCTAAATTCAACCCCAAGGCCTGCAAGAGATGCTCATAACTCATCTGATGGATCCATTTATTCCTTTTTTTTTTTAATTGTGGTAAAATACACATAACAAAATTTACATCTTTCCCATTTTTTTTTAAAGATTTTATTTATTTATTTGAGACAGAGAGAATGAGAGAGAGAGAGAGCACATGAGAGGGGGGAGGGTCAGAGGCAGAAGCAGGCTCCCTGCCGAGCAGGGAGCCCGATGCGGGACTCGATCCAGGGACTCCAGGATCATGACCTGAGCCGAAGGCAGTCGCTTAACCAACTGAGCCACCCAGGCGCCCGACATCTTTCCCATTTTTAAGTGTATGGTTCAGTGGTATTCAGGACATTCATACTGTTGTGAAACCATCACCACCATCCATCTCCAGAATTATTTTGTTCATCTTGCGAAACCGAGACTCTATACCCACTAAAGAATAACTCCCCATTCTCTCTCCTCAGCCCCTGGCAACCACCATTCTGCTTTCTGTGTCTATAAATTTGACTACTCTAGATACCTCGTGTCTGTGGAATCATACAGTATTTGCTTCTTTGTTCCACTCATTCTTTGATAGAATCATAAGTTAGTCAGAAGATGTTCTAGAATCCTTAGTAAGGAAATCCATGTGGAGGGCTGCCTGGCTGGCTCAGTCAGTGGAACATGTGACTCTTAATCTCAGGGTCATGAGTCTGAGACCCCCACTGGGTGTAGAGATTACTTAAAAAATAAAATCTTTAATTTAAAAAAAGAAAAGGGAAATCCATGTAGAAAGTTGGGTGAATCCTACTATTTATCTTGATACCATCAAGCATTTGTGTATCTGTTTTTCTTCATTCTGATTCCATGTCACAAATCAAACCTTTGAGTATGGTACGGCTTCTTACAGTGGATACAATTAGTTGCCCACCAAGCATCCATCCCATCCCGTATATACTGATTAGCATTGTATTGTAGTTTGGGTGGTATTACCATCCTTTAACTCCAGAGATCAACCATAAACCAATTCTCATAAACCCATACTCTTTGTCACAGTGATTGACTCAGGGATGGACACTGACCTAGGCCTAAACCAATCCTCTGGCTACAGTGATATTCATGGACAGGTATTTACCTAAGTTGGCCCAATCAAAATGAAGTCTAGGACCTTTGTTTGATAGCTGGAGAGAGAAGCCATCCTTCTTTTACTGAAGTTGAATTTTTAAAAATGTGCATACATCTTATTGCTGCAAGCAGCCATTTTGTAGCCATGAGAAGTAATCCTAGGAGGGTGCCAGTATGATGAAAAATAGAGCAAATAGATGGAAAGGAATTTAATCCTTGGTGATTAAACTGCTGGATCAAGCCTTACCTGGAACACTCCCTACCACAGTCCTTTTGAGTTCTCTTTATTGTTTAACCAAATTGGTTTTTTTTTTCTTTTTCTTGGGGGTTGGGGAGAGTGCTCGAGCGGGGAGCAGAAAGGGGCAGAGAGAGGGAGAGAGAGAACCCTAAGCAGGCTCCACACCCAGCGCAGAGCCCAATGCAGGGCTCAGTCTCACAACCTTGAGATCATGACCTGAGCTGAAACCAGTCAGATGCTCAACCAACTCAACCACCCAGGCACCCCACTATTACTTGTTTTTAGGTATATTTTAGTAGATTATTCATAAAGATCTCTGTACAGAGTCAGAAAGCAATGATTGAATGGACCTTATACATTCCCTTTGATATTAATTTCTCATTGTGAAAAAAAAATTGGCATTTCAGTTTGATATATTATTTTCTTTAGCTTGTTTCAGGTAAGATGTGGATTCATTCTCAGGATCCTGACAAATTTTAATTTCTGGCTTTGTCCTGCGAGGGACCACAGTAATACTGTCAAGGTAAGGAATATCATACTAAGGAGGTGTCGAGAAGACCTTAGTAACCATGCATGGTCTGCCTCAAAAGCTCTCCTCGAACTTGAGCTTGCATTTCATCTCTTTGAACTTCTGTAGCCATTGGAAATTCTTCTGAATATCAGGGATTGCTCTAAATTAGCAGCCAGTGCTAGCTGCACTGTTGGGTACCTGGTCTCTGACACTTTGCCTCCCAATCCTGGGAGCCTCTCACCTTAGGTCCTTAGGTGGCATTCTCTGCTTAGCAAAGGGTAGCCAAGTCTTCTTTCTACAAAGGTGTGGGCCCTTTGCATGTGGCCATGATGGATGTGATAACATCTAGCACAGTGCCTAGTATATAGTGCATTGACTCTCAATCTGAGGGGCCCCTCTACTTCTGTCATTGGCTACCCTGATAAGGTTGGAAGATACCAAGTTCAGTGAAGGTTCAGACTTTTTCCCCATATTGTTAGACACTCTTCTCAGTTATCTACAGGTACTAGATGAGAATTTTTTTATGGGAAATTGTGTCTTCTCAGTGTTTCCCTCCTTCCTCCTTCCCCTAAAGAGATCTGTGCATCATTTCTTCTTTTGCTGGCCCTGGGTAAAAATATATTACACACAGAATAGTAGCAACACGTTAACAGTGGGGTTGTTTCCACGTGGTGTGCTCGTGAAGCATTTCTTTCTAAAGGGATTCAAGATACCAAAAAAAAAAAAAAAGTGCTAATAAAGACTGCAATTTTACCAAAAACCTGAGGGTTTATTGCTTTTAATTTTACTCTAGAAGTTGAGGACTCCTTGAATGAAGGGAGAGTTGTGAATGAAATTCTGTTCAGCCTTCTTTTAGAAATATCCATGGACACCTACTCCATCAGTTGTGGCTAAATGCAGAGCTATTCACCCTTTCAGTATCAAGACAAGATGCACTTCGAATTTAAGTCCATAAACATTTAAACTCAGTCACTCTAAACCTAGTGTGGCCCTGACTTGTATTTTCTCATTTCCAGTGACGGGACCATTTTTTAAAAGAGCCTGCTGAGTGAACTGGTTGAATGGAGTGCCATGAAGGTCTTTAATAAATTATAGGTGGATTTATGGGTTCTGCTCGGGGCCAAGGTAGGTTGGCTGAGTTGAAATGAAATGAGACATATTCATTCAGAAGGTCCAGTGGGTCCTCAGTATTAAGGAAAGAAGATTCATGAACAGATGCTATGTTTTTCACCTCATAGGCTTCCTATTCTACATGGACAATTGTCTCTAGGATTGAATAATCCCATCACATGAATGGGACACATTGTCTAGTTGGTTACTTAGGACAATTTCTTCAGAGTAACCCAAACTTACCTTATGTAAAATCATAGGCATGAGCAAACTCTCAAAACCAACCCCATGGTTAAAACAGGAAAGCCTCAAAGCAATCCAAGATGGATGGGCCTCGTTTGTATTCTTATCATCTCTAAGAACAGGTATGTCACAACCTCTCTTGTGACTGGTGTTTCCCAGCCTGGATTACATTTCTACCTCCCATGCTCTCATTAGGAGGAAGAGATGACCATAGATGACGGGTGAAAGCTTCTGCTGAGCTCGGCCACTTGTAGGGATGTTGTTGACTTTGTCAGTCCATTGTGACTTTCCATACACATTTATAAGTGAACCTCCTGTGAACTGTGCTCCCGAGAAAAGTGTGAAGATGAGAAGGAGTGAGAATCTAAATTCGACAACAGTGTTTCCCTAAACCGGGGCCAGAGTGTTGGCAGAAGCTGTGATGTTTGGCAATTATTGCTGAAATAACTGGGATTCTTGAAGGAGTGTTCAGGAATCCTGAAGATTATGGATGTTGAATATGTATATTGAAAGGGAGAGAGCTGTCCTATCTCCCGCTGAAAGCAGTTACATGGGCCTAATTCCTCCCTGAGCACTAATGATGTGCATCGGGCCTCCCCTTTCCTTGACATGAGTTTCTCTTCAACTCTCTCTTTGGGATGGTTGATAATTAACATGGGGGTTTGCTATCTGCCTTCATTGAACTTGTGTGGTCATTTTATGCTGCTCAGCCCAGCGATCTAGCTAGTGACATCATTGGGCTAATGACTAATGTGCCTGAAGCAAAACAAGGACAATTCTATCTAAAAGAAAATTTTCTTCCCTTATTTTCCTCTTCCAGAGGATCATTGGGATGGCTAGGATTTATATGTTGTGCATGCAGTAGAAGAGCTTCTGGTAGATAGTGCAAAGGACAAGGAAAAAAATAAAGAAGGGAAGATAATGAGCAAACTCCTCTTTGTTGGAAAAAATATTTGCTGTTTTTCTGCCTCCGAAGTTTTCTGTAACGTTTCCTAGAATGTTAACCTAGAAGCTCGAGTGCTTTCTGCTGGGTTTCTTTGAAGGTCCTACTCTGTGGAGAAAGGCCAACAAAAGAGCACTTCCTGATGCAGGGGATGGAACCATCTCTCTTTGCTCTAGAATCAAGTTGTAACACGAGTCTGGACATTTGTCAGGGGGTGTCTTGACACTGGAAGAATAGGCAAGTAAGAAAGAAATGGAATTAGTGATTGAAGCGCATTGATATTGTTGGGATCTTGATACACATTGCCAGTTTGCACCCGAGAGAGGTTATACCAGTTATCCACACGCTAGCTCTGTCAGAGCATGCTCACCACCAGTATTGTTACCTTTCACATCTTTACAAATGTGATAGACTGAAAAAGACATTGAGCCAGACTCAAAAGGCAGCTTACTGTATGGTTCTATTTCCGTGACATCCCAGAGAAGGAAAAACTATCAGGGAAAAAAGTTGGATTGGGGTTTGGGTATGAGAAGGATTGACAGGAGAGAGATCTGAGGGAATTTCTTAGGGCTGATGGAAATGTTCTATATCTCGATTTTGCTGGTGCTTTCACGACTACACATTTGTCAAAACTCACTGAACTATACATTTGAAAAGGGTGAATTTTACTGTACATAAATTATACTTCAATAAACCTGACTTTAAAAATGACATTGCCTTGTGGTTTTAAGTCACAGTTCTTTTGCAGTGAAATTGAACAGCTTTATATTTATTTGCCATTTGTATTCCTTCTTTGGAGAATTGTCTTTTCATCCCATTGCAGAATTGTCTATGGACTCTGAGCCTTTTTTCTATTAATCGGGGTGATCTTTTAATATCGTCTGTCAAACTTGTTAAAAATATTTTTTTAATTTCTTTTTTCACTTTATTTGGACTATTTTACGTCTTTATTTGATCTAGCCAAATTTATTGACTTTTACTCTAATGGTTCCTTTACTTTTTTAGAAGAACTTCCCGATAGAAACCTTTGGAACACGGAAATGTCTCAGTACATGCTACTTTAGTTTCTCTTGGGAATTCACCAGGTAGGCTGTGGGTAGACTTTTCAAATTAAAAGAAGTAAACAACCCCTCTGTGCATCAGCGTAGTTGTCGACCTCCCTAAAAGACGCTCATTGGGCTCATGGCTCATCCTCTCTTCCTGCTCCTCGGGGCTCCACTGGGCTGAGAGCCGAGCCACACCCTGGCCTCACTGACTCTCTCTCTCCCCCCCGCAGCGGCAGCGGCAACAGTGGTTTAGACCCAGGGCCCCGGGAAGTGATTTATAGCAATAGAAATTGACGAAAGCCTCAATCAGTTGAAAACCTCATTTAACATTTCCCGCTGCTCTCCAGTTTTTGGAAGTTCTGTTTTGTCCTGATTTGCTCCATAATGAGATTTGGGGAAAAAACTATGACCTCACCTGTACATTCCAGTAATTAATTATTTATTTAGTTATTTATTTTAAATATTTCATTTATTTATTTTAGAGAGAAAGAGAGAGACAGCGAGCGAGCAGGGGGAGGAGCAGAGCGAGAGGGAGAGAGAATCTCCAGCCGACTACGCGCCGAGTGCAGAGCTGGACACGGGGCTCGATCCCAAGACCCTGAGATCAGGGCCTGAGCCGAAACCAAAAGTCGGATGGTTAACCAGCTGTGTCACCCAGGTGCCCCTCAGTAATTATTTCCTGAATGCTGACCATGTGCCTGGAGCGTGGCCGGGTGCTCGACGTATAGTGGCGGGTGAGATAGACTAAGTTTTTGTCCTCATAGCACTTACAGGCAGGTTATGCCAATAGTCAATGAATAAGTATCAAATTGTGACATAAGATAATTGGCAATTATGATAAATGCTTTGACAGGAACAAAGAGGATGTTGTCCCCCTGTCGAAGTGGGGGTGCAGAGAGTGGCAGGGTTCTCCCTTTTCTCACACCAATCTGAAAAGTTTTATTTGGCCCCAAGCTTCCTATAAATTTTCACTTCTAGGAAGACTTCAGCAGAAGAAAAATGTTTGCAAAACCAGTGCCCTGTGGAATTGTAAACAAATGTGAGACTCTGAGTGAGCTTGGCCAAGGCCACGTGTCTTCATCGTGTATTACCTGTCCCGGGGGTTGCTGTGAGAATTAGCAAAACTAGGTGTCAAAGAGGCAGTAGGGAGGCTGGCTGATGACTCTGGAGGCAGACAACTGGGGTTCAAATGCTGGCTCCTCCATGTAATAGCTACTGTTGTCTCGGGGAAGTTCTTTATGCCCCCTGTGCCTCAGTTTTCTAGTATAGCTAACAGGGGTTGTAAATAGTGTCTACCTCTTAGGGTTGATCTGATAATTAAGTGAGAGAGAAGATACGTAGCTTTTTCAGTAGTGCTTGGTGTGTGGCAAGTGTTCGGTCAAAGCTAGCTTCTGCCATCACCACCGTATCATCACTGGGTTTGGGTCCTAACATAAGAATGAACAAATCTCTCATGTACTATAACCATGTAGTTAGATTGTTCTGAAACAGCCAAGCCCTGGGACTGTGAGCAATAGATACATGGAATAAAGAGAAATGTGGGCAGCACATTCCTGTGGCTATCGACTCTGTGTGAAAGGGGTCAGGGATCTCAGCTCAGTTCCAATCCCATATCCCCTTCCCCGCTTTACTGGGGAAATGATCTTGAAGGAGGGCCAACTGCACTCTGAGTAGATAGAACAGCTTTGGCTACGGCCCAACTCCACCACCCAGGCACAGAGGAGAGCTCTCTGCTGTCTCTTGAGTGATTTAGCTTTATTGGCTATTGTCTCTCTCTCCAACCTGCCTTCAGGATGAATGTCGTGGCCAGAACTCATAGAGGACACCAGCTTCCCAAGGAGTTCACGGGATGCGGATATTCTCTCCGTTTATGAAATAGCCTTCAAGTTGACCATTAGTGGAGGCTGTATTTTGCACGTTATGAAGAGGAAATTACAGTGCATTGGAAGTTCTGCACTGCGGCTTAGGCAGTGCATTAGAGGTGGGATACAGGCTGGGGTGCTTTCCTACTGGGCATAATACCCAATTTATTTTCATTTACATTACTTTTCCTACATCACTGACTGCACGAGGCATGAAACTGTTAAATGCAAGCAATTCCCAATTGCTTGGCACAAATAGAAATGTTTAATGAATAATAATAAAAAAGGAGCCTATGGATGAAACCAATATGCAAAAATTATGAGAGCATGTTAATCAATTTTTCTCTTTGCATAGAGCTCAATGAGCCTTCTTTTTCTCTTTCTCCCTCCCTCTCTCCCTTCTTCTCTCCTCCCCTCCCTGCCTCCTCTTTCTTCCTTTCTAAGTTCTTTTTTTTTTTTTAAGATTTTATTTATTTATTTGAGAGAGAGAGAGAGCATGAGAGAGAGGGAGAGCACAAGCAGGGGGAAGGGGCAGAGGGAGAAGCAGGCTCCCCGCTGAGTAGGGAACCCAATGCGGGACTTGATCCCGGGACCCTGGGATCATGACCTGAGCCAAAGGCAGACGCTTAACTGAGCCACCCAGGCGCCCCTGTCTAAGTTCTTTTTGAAAAGACAAAGCAAATATATTTAAGTGGAACAAAATAGAGTAGTATAGTATTATTAACACAACAGATAAAATGCATGAATATGAAAGGTTTTATCTGGAGAATTTCAAGAGAAGAAGGAAGGAAGGAGGGAGGGAGGGAAGGAAGAAAGGAAGGAAGGAGGGAAGGAGGGAGGGAAGGAAGGGAGGCACCTGGGCCGCTCAGTCGGTTAAGCATCTGATTCTTGTTTTCAGCTCAGGTCATGATTGAAGCGCTGTGAGATCAGGCTTCGTGCTCAGCAGGGAGTCTGCTTGTGATTCTCTTTCTCCCTCTCCCTCTGCCCCTCTCCACCCTCTCTAAAAGAAAAAGACAAGACTCTATTCCCTTCAGCTCTATGAATGGGGGCAGTTTGGCTGCTGGTATGAAAGGGGATTTTAATTTATGCATCTCATCTTAGTAACAGTTACATCTAACTAATGTTTTCCCAGCCTTTGGCTTGTTAGGAGAGTCAGCTTAGAAAAAAGGAAGACTGGCTCATGCAGGGGAGGTTCATCAGCACCACATTCCAAAGCTTCTGGTTCCCTTGTGGGTTCCCTTAAGCAGGACTGGATTTTTAAAGCCTCCATCAAAATGGATGGATCTTCCCCCCCCCCCCTATAGTTTTACTCCCACTTCGTAACTTCACAGCATATGCTGGGGTAGAAGAGGGGTGTTGTTAACGAGATCTCTGGAATCCAGACTCTCATGAGCAGTATGACTGAGCAAAATGACTTTAACCTCTCTGGTCCTCAGTTTCCTTCTTTACAAAATGAGCAACAGATATCTGTCTCTCGTGGTTATTTCCCACATTCTGATAACAGAAGCTCAAGTATATACAAATATACATAGAAAAGAGACTGGAAGGAAAAAGAACAGAATGTCAGTAGTGGCTGTTTATTTTTCCTTTTTGTTCTGCATTTTCAACTTTCTATATAGGCAAGCATTATCTTTCAATAGGAAAATTATAGTTTACAAAAGCCATCTTTTCTTGTTTGAGCAAACGTGGATTGTAATAATACCTATTGATTTTCCTTTTCCTTTTTTTAAGATTTTATTTATTTATTTCTTTGTTCCATACAATCTGCCCCTCTCTCTTTTGAAAGGAGAGCAGATGTGGGCTGTATTAGTTTCTAATTGCTGCTGTAACAAGTAACAAGTTTAGTGGCTTAAAACCACACAAATGTATTCTCTTACAGTTCTGGAGATGAGAAGTCTTGAAATGAGTCTTAAAGAGCTCAACTCAAGGTGTGGGAAGGGCTGGTTCTTTGGAGAATGTGAAGGGAGAATCCATTTCTTTGTGGGTTTTTTTTCAGCTTTTTGGGGGCTGCCTGTATACCTTGCCTTGTGGCTCCTTCTCCATCTTCAAAGCCCATGATTCCAGTCTGCTTCTGGCATTTCATTCACCATAGAAGGAGACATGCCTGGATAATCTGCCATTATCTCCCCATCTCAAGATCCTTATTCATACCTGCAAAGTCCATTTTGTCATCTAAGGTAACATATGGACATCTTTAAGTGGGAGGCTGTCATTCAGCCTAACAAACAGAGTTTATTAAGAGGTGAAGAACTAAATAAAAACTGAGCAAGAAAAAAAGCAACAAAGTTTCTGGTAATGTGAAATAACGAACCAAGTACTTTATGCAGAATATCTGTTCAATTCTTACAGAATTTAACTGTACTGGACCAAGTGCCCTGGCAGGAAATACAAGGCATTTGGGTCTGACGTGAATACAGAAGCTGATGTATTCTATTATAAAAAACAAGATCACGGGGCATCTGGGTGGCTCAGTCAGTTAAGCGTCTAGCTCTTGATTTCAGCTCAGGTCATGATCTCAGGGCTGTGGGATGGAGCCCCACATCCGGCTCCACACTCAGTGGGGAGTCTGCTCAAGATTCTCTCTCTCCTCTCCTTCTGCCCCTCCTCCCTACTCGTGCTCTCTCTCTCCCTCTCTCTCTCTAAAATAAAAAATAAATCTTAAACAACAACAACAACAACAAAATCATGACACACAACAGTGAAAAATTATCAAACCCCTTCTCCCAATATCTTTAAGGGGCCAGAAATTCAGTCTAAGATG